TGCATGAATTAACTGAATCTTAATTTAGCTAAAGTGTCAACAATCTCATGGTGAGAATATGCTTTATTCTAAATTAGCGTAAAGATTAGCTAAAATTACATGCTAACTAAAAAGACATGTTTTACAAAATATTTCAGGTTTATTTGAAGTGAATCTCAGCACTGTTCCTTTTATAAATGTTATGGTTCTGTTACAGCAAGTCTCAGAAATATTGAGGCAGCCACAGTGTTGAGGGACTGTGGGCAGCCAATTTGCAAACTCGCTAGCGAATTGGCTAACTGCTTGGCTTTCAAATCTTGCTGGCGCTAACTTGTGATCTTGTCTACTCTGGGCGAGTCTATAATCCTTTAGGTGACATAGAATGCTTTTTATATATGGCCTGGCTGGTACATGTCTGGATTCTCCTGGACAATTTGCTTTGTTATGCGAGGTGTGATAATGTAAAAGTACAATGGGGTAGCCATCTTGAACACGGCTTGAAACTAAATAAAGAGACAAGTTGAGAAACAATTTCCTACAAATCAGGGAGAAAATTGAATTTTCACATCTCAGCGAGCTGTTGGGGTAACATTAAGCAAACCGCTAATAAAATTCGACCTCATTCATCGTTCTTGCATAGACAATCCCTTGTATACCCCATTATACGAAAACATAAAACACTTTCCATGTCGACCCTCCCCAATTGTTATATATCCCATAGTGGGCGTGACCACAAGATGGTGATTTGAAACCCAACTGTTTGGTCAAAACCCAAGCAGTTAGCCAATTTGAGTTTTGCAAATTGGCTGTCCCAATATTTCTGAGACTTGTAATTATTTTTTAGAAACTGTACAGCAAATCACAGAATTTCATTATGTATTGATCATATTTTTTTCTAAATTTCAGTTTTTATTGTTCATAATTATTTACAGTAATAAAACAGTTTTTCGTTCTGAAACCATTTCCAGCTTTGCCCCACACCCAATATGTACAGGATGATATGTACGGATATGTGTATGTTTCCTTCGCCTCAATTCCAACTATATCTCTGGAAATATTACTTGCGGTTTATCATCCTTATTTCAATGTCCTACAATGGCGTGTCTGGTAATTCTAACTACTAGTAACTACTATTTCACAAAATTTGCCTAGCTTTGCTTCTACCAGTCAACTACAGCTATTGTCCTTCACAGTGAAGGGTAATGCAGATATGTTGTAAATTACACAGAGGTAACACTACAATACAATTCACTTTACATTCCCTTGCATTAAACAAAAGTCTTTGTACTGAGACAGTTATGGTTCACATCTATCACCAGTTCTCTTGTTAATATATATAATGCTTTTCATCCCACCCATACATGTTGGAAGTCTACTGGTTAGTTGTCTACAGGTGACGGAAACGGACGTCTCCATTCATCCATCTGTAACGTAAAACGCCGCCAATTACACATAAACAATTAGGCTGCAATACTTCAATTTACAAGTAAACTACTGGTATCTCAAACATTCCATTGTTTGGCTGCATGCCCAATTTTGAAAGTGGGCGTACGCTCAACTCTAGACTGGCAAAGTCGGGACTTCTGTTTTGTTTTACAAAAAGCAAATAATTATTTGTTTTAAGCCCGTATAGCGTGATCGCGAAAACTTACGTAGCCACGAAAGAAATCCCTTTTGCGGGCACGCTAGTTTTCGAGATCACGCTAAAAAGGCTAATTGACAATTATTTTGTTTTTATAAAACGAAAAAGAAGTCCCGACTTTGCCAGTCTAGCTTAAATCAATGAATTGATTCATACTGTTAGAATATAGATTTTTTTATTCACCACTATTATTAGTTTTTTTTATTTTCACAGGGAAATCTAGTTGACGGGGCAATGTTGTTCTTTTTGATTTCCCCCACTCTGTATTTAGTGTGTTAAACTCATGTAAAGATGTATTATTTATTGTATTATTACAAGTGGGTGAAATAAATAAATAAATTAATTACTCAGAAAGCTGAGACGCTCTTAATGAATAGAGAAAGACTACTTTTTGATGCGCCCTTCTCACAAGGTCATAGCACAGTCCGTTGAGGGACACGGGGTCATAGGGGTCAAACTGCGTGAATTTTTAATAGTTAACGTGGAAGAT